AGCCCTGTGCTCAGAGAGACTCTCTGGAAGTACAGCTCTGCTAACAAACTGCTCCTTCAATAACTTTCCCTTCTTGGAATGCTGCAGGTAGGATGTTCTGTTAAGCCAGTGCATAAATGGTTCAAGTATAAACTGAAAAGAGAACCCTCAGTGAGAAATCTAACATTTCAAAGGAATGTTAAAATGTTCAACTTGATTTGGCTGTCATTTATATTTTACATTTAAAATTCTAAAATGAATAAAATCTTTTTTTACTAATTTATAAAATAGTGTTGCATCTATTCTTTGTGTATTCTGTAGTCTAATTGCCAGTACAAAATTCATACCTTAAGTAGTAGCGCAGCACCTACTGTATATGAGAATGCTTAGTTGTTGTTACTTGAAATAATATGCCTACCTGTTGCTTTTATTGATAATTGATGTTTTGTTCTTTTTTTTTCTAACTGGCAAAGTAGACAAAATGTTATTTTTATTTTTTAATAAAGAATTTGAAACCTTCTGCTTTGTTAGGTGATTCGCCCTAAGAAAATTTCACAAATTATATCAAAATAGAGATGAGCCCTGTTTTTTTGATCTGTAAGACTGTTTTAATATAAGAATGTACTTTAATGTGAAAAAAAGGAGAAAAAGCTGTAGTCAGGTAGCTGCCCATTAGACCCAAACCAGCCAAGTAGAGGCTGGGGCTGCTTTTCTGTGCCCAGGCACAGAAGTCAGATAAGTCAGATTCCTTAACAGTTCTAAACCAGTTTCACCACAAAAGTGATTATTTTTATGTAGTAATGGTGATTAAAACAATCCCACCACAACTGTAGCAGGTGCTTTTCTGTCTCACCCATGAAGAAACAAGGCAGCAAAAAATGACTTTTGAGCCACACCAGCCTCACAACCTCATGCATGGTTCTAACTTTGGCTTCAACCAGGTGCCACCCTGTGGGTTGCTTGGGAGGCCCAGCTACAGCCCCAGGGCTGCCAGCCCTGCATCCCAGCAGAAGCACTCGAGGAGGCTGGCTTTAAACCTCATCTCCTTTTGCCCTCCCTTGCCAGAGTGTTTGGAGCCCTAGGTTCCTGCCTCCCAGCCAGCTGGTTTAGTGCTGGGCTGTAGGATTTCTGCAGTGTAGCTGCTTCTGAAGATTCATAAATACGCTTTTTCTCTAGGGGACAGTATGGACGCCTCACTAGAAAAGCAGTCCATGGATGCTGTGGCTTCATGTGCAGAAAACAGACTGTTAGCTCATTTCACTGCATCCTTCTCAACACCTTCCCATCCAGTCTGTACCCACTGCACTTTTGCAGCTAAGTGAAAAAGGGTAGGATAAGATTCATGTCTCCCTGCGAGGTACCAGGCATGTCTGCAGTGGAAAGGCTCTTGGTGTTAGCAGTGTTGAGTTTGCAGATAAAAATGCTGACTTAGATCCTGTGCAGATCAGTGTATCCAGTCAGTGATACTGCGCGTATAGGTTCTACTGCTCAGTTGGGGTTTTCTTTCTTTTTGAAAGGGCAGCTGTCTGTATTAGCTTCCAGTGCCATCTAGTGGGCTCTGGTTTTATTTCCCTAGTAGGCAGCGTTCCAGTAGCGCGTTTCGAGCCTATATGCGTGCGTACATTAATATCAGTACTCCTTTCTGTACACCCCTGTGTTCTTCAGGAGTGATCCATTTATAGATATTTATACTCACTTCCGACATTTAAGGTAGATGTAAACTAGAAGTTGAAACAAGCCATAGAAAAGTAAGTAGAACTATATGTTTGCAAGTAGCTTGTATGACAAATGTCTTTAATGGAGACTTCTGAGAGAGACCTTCGAAGTAATTTAGCTGCTTGTTTGCACTTGGAAGTACTGTTCCTCTAGTTGTGCATTCTGTTCTCTGTGTAACTTTTTATGTAAGTGGTATAAAAATTCTCTTCTGCCATTGATAACATTTTATGTGTTTTGAACTCATGGTGTACATGATTTTCACATTTCTAAATTATAATCTAGACCCCTTCTTTGCTTTTCTTTTCTAGATGCTTGTTTGGTTCCCTCATTGCTCAGGTGGGCTTAAGGGTTTTGTGAGTAAAAAAAACTTTTTTTGCTGTTTCTAACTTCTGTTGATAACATATTGTGGAAAAGTAACGTCTAAAACCTGGAGGTTCAGGATAAAGTGTGGGATCTGTCATTTGCTTCTTTTTTTTTTTTTTTCAGCTGTTGGCTCAAATTTCTTGGTTCAGGGCTTATATAAATACAACAAAAGCATAAATCCTATCTCTAACCCTCGTAGTCCTATCTGGGGAGGTTACTTAAGGAGGCTTTATGGGTGTGCCACTGGCTACTCCTATACACTGTCCTTGCTCTACCACCCCAGGAGACGGATGATGGTTTTGGGCCCCCTAGTTCTGTTGATCTGAGCCCCAGGCTATTCAGAGGCAGGAATGAGCCACTGGCTCTCCACAGGTGATGCTCACCCCTTCTCCAGAACGAATCAGGACTGCGAGAAAGTCAACGGTGGGACTTTTCTGTTCTGCTAACCCTAACCTTGCTGCTAGTACTGTCCAGTATAGTTTTACAGGCAGTATTAGCAGAGCAGCTGTGGTGTAGGTTCTGATGCTTTCTGTACTGATTCAGTCATACCATCTTCTCCATGCTGGCCCCAGCCACTACAAGCACAAGGAGGGATGACTTTTTTGCAGCATCATATAAGTCTTTAGGTGGGAGAGACAGCATTGCTTGAAAGGAATCTGTGATCCACTCATGTTTCCTGTTTGCTCTCTTTGTCTTCATATGCATGTGTGCTCGCTCTCCTTTTTTTTTTTTTCCTGCTCCAGACACAAGGCAGTGTAAGCGCAGCTGTTTTGGCACACACCATGCTGCTGTGGCATCCTTTCCGTGTTTGGGCCTTGAGTGGGTGAATGTTCAAGGACCTTGGCTATTTCCAGTATGAATGGGTGAGCACCAGGAGTGCAGCTGTTCTCCATGTCTGGGGATTGATCCATGGTCCTGCCCATTGTGTGTAAACCCAGAATTTATGATACACTCTAAAAGGCAGGTGTTGTACCGTGCCCATGGCCTCTCCCTGCAGAGCATCATCTTGTGGCATGTTCAGGCTTCACAGAGAATCTGGTGAGTTGGCGCTGTGGTGATTAGGATGGCCTTGGGGCTGAGTCCACGAAGTGCACTGAGGCAGTAACTGGCACAGTGCAGGGGTCATGCAGGGCTCTGGGGCCTTTCAGAGATAGCAGGCGCTTGTCCAGGTGCTGCCATACGCTCCTGAGAGAGTCCTTAAGAGACATCTGCCTGAGCTGCTCTCTGTGCCTGCAATGCTGCTACTGGTTCAAATGGTGCAGGGAGAGGGGTGATGGGAAATGTTCATGGTGTTTGGAAACAACCTTTGATCTTTCTTTGAAACTTACATCAAATGTATATTTTAAAAGACCTATTCCAAAATACCCTGCCATTTGCTAATTAACAGGAAGCAAACTGGTAGTTAAGAGTGGCTTTATCTTCACTTGTGCTAATGTGACAGGTAAGGAGAATATGAGGACTTTCCTGCCTGTGTGTTTGAAAGTTTATTACTGAAGGTGGAGTACATGATGTTCCCTAGGACTTTTTCAAAGAAGATGAGAAGAACTCAGAGCTCCAAGTGTTAGCATTTTAGATTCATTAAGCTACTATCTAGACCACATGTGAAAACTGTCATTGCCTCCTGAGCAGTTAATGCGTCCATCAGTTAGGGCAGAAACTGTTCTGTCTTTTGGAAACCAGAGGAGACAGAACTCAGCATCTTTCAGGTGGCCTGTAATTGCTTTGTTTTGCACAACACTGCATGAAGTGACTGAGTCTCAAATTTGAAAACGTTGCAATAAAGATCTTAAATGGGTGTGGATGTGAAGCAAAGTATACTAAGTGCCTGGAACATGGCAGCAAGAGATTTTTAAGCACATTTCAATTTTTTGGTAAATTGAAGTTTAGTAGTTAGTTGAAGTGCTTAGTAGTTGAAGTTAGTATACTGCTTCCTAAGTGGAAAAAACATAAGAAAATGGTGTAGGTACTCGGTACCATATGATATATTTATACACACATATTCTCACCATAATTTGCTTTGCAGTTAAGCACGTAGCCATGTGATGATATGTTGTGGTATTATTAACTATATCAGAAATGGAAATGATAGTTGCCAAATGAACTGCAATGATAGGCTTCAGATTTTAGCTGAGCTGTGCATATTTTCAGGGATTTGTTATTTTTTCCCACCCCAGAATCAGTATCTGTGGCCCTGAGAACTGCAGGTACCTCTAAAAGGAGAGTTAAATGATATAATCATATTACAAATCATGCTTGAGGACCTACTCTGTCTTTCTGCCATGCCGGTTATGGTTTAGGTGTGTTGGCCATGCAAAGAAGAGCATCCCCAGTTGGCGCAGGCATGCTGTCAAGAAGGTCCCAAGCAGTAACTTGGATGGCTGGCATTTATAGAGGCTGTATGGTCACTGTGCTGATTTAGGTGCTCTGTGACCCCTTATGGGGAAAACTGGTCTGTAATTTTCTGTGTAATTATCAGTGACATGCTTGCACTCGCAGTGTGCCTAAATAGTCTACTAGTAGCACAAAAAGTCAGTTAAAAGTTTCACAAAATCTTAGACTTTTCAAAAGCTCATTTGTTAACTATTTTTCCATTCACAAGGCTTTAAAATATGTTCTTTTAAATAGTTTCTCTTTTATTAAAAAACAACAACAACAGCAACAAAACCCTCATGAGAGTTATACAGGGTAATTTGGGTAATGATCCTAAGTTACTCAGTGATTCCTAAAGAACAACAAACTATCCAACAAAAACTGTGATACAAATCACTTCCAAGAGGAAAGAATAAGTGGCTCTAGTAAAATCCAGCTCGCTTCTGATATACTGTTAGATTGAAACAAGAATGAAATGTAAATAAGAACATGACTGCTTATATTGATAACCGTATGGGGGTTTTGGTGTACATAGTCATATTGGTTGAACAGAATCTCATACAAGAATAAAATTCATAGTAAAGATGTCTTTATTCCAAAATAATAATAATAATAATGTGTTAGCCAGACAGCTACAAAACATCTACACAAGACTTTGGTAAGAAATGTTCATGGTAGCTTTTTCATAATTCCACAGCAAACAGAAACAAGGAAGGACATCTAAAAATGCAAATAAACAAAATTTTGTTCGAATCGTATGCTGCACACAGAGTCCTACTGTACAGGTGTTAAGCCTCTAGCTTTTACTTTTTACTATGTGTAAAACCTCTACAGTTTGTATGTTGGGGAAAAAAAAACACAATGTACACACAATGCTAAGATCTGATTTTTGAGGTCTACAAAACTGGAATGACATCTGTGCTTTCAGTTCAGCAGGATTATTTGCAAGATAGGAGAGATAACAGTTCTTATTTTTATTGACTGATAATCAGTGGCTATTACACTACTAGAAAGTTTACAGTAACGATGCAATATTTTTAGAGATTGTGTATCAGAGCTTCTTTTCTCAATAGAAAATCAACCTTTTTTTTTTTTTTCATTTGCTTGTGTGGGTTTTTTTTTACAAAATGTAACAAGCTTAAATATTGTATCAAGTTATAGGAAGGACAAGTGGTTTGTAAAATGTTTCAACAGGAAAAACAGTGTGAAAAGCTGAACCCAAGCAGGAACCATCACACATTTCTGAGCCAGTGCAATCTATGGTGTCACTGCATGCATTAACAAAGTGTGGAGGGGAAAATCCAACATTCATTACTTTAATAAGCCTAAGAGAAATGACTGGAAATCACACTGGACAGCCTCCTAACAAAAAATATAGAGAATCAAATTAGTAAGGACCACATTGAAAGAGATGCCAGGTTGTTTTAATGCACAATTTTGTGGCACGTTTGGGAAGATGTTGTGTATTTCCTACATACCTCAAGATGTATTTGGACTATGTAGCCTTTGGCAAAGGGAGTAATTAAAAACCAAAATAGGTCAATGAAATGGAACAAACGAAATGAAAATACAGTGCTGTTTTTAATTGATTATTTGCAGAAACAGGTGTGATTTTGCAAGATTAACTTGAACAAGTGGTAAAGGTTGATGAGATAAATATAGTCCATAAACTCACATATTTTTTTTTTCCATTGAGGACAAACTTTTTTCCTATGCTCCCCCTGCCCCAAGCTCTCACAGACCCAAGCATACAAAACCCACACTGTCACAGCCTCTGTCGGGCTCAGCAAGAGCAGCTCGCAAAGGTAGATGGTTGTGGCAGTCTTGACTGCACATGTAGGTTTTCACTGGCTGAGCGCCTGTCAGGAATCACTGTAGCCCTTCCCTGTAGACATCTGATTCTTCATCAGAAATATGTTCAGCTGGTCACTCCTCCAGTACCTGTATCATTCCACTGGGCTTTTCTGTTGGAGGGTTACTTTTTTTATTTCAGTCACAAAAGGGTAATGCGCAAGGTAAGGTCATTACCTAGGCACAGTCTTGCTGCTACACTGTAATGACAGTGCTGTAGAGACATAAACTGCAAAATTTTTCAACAGGCGCAAGGAGGCAAACTATCTGAATTATATTATTAAATGAGCCACGCTGTGCAAAGTGGGGAGCTGTTTGGTTTCGGCATTAAACCTTGTATTATTTTTTCCCTCCTGGTTTGGTTCACTATGGGCCTGCAGCCATTTTGTTTAGCAGTGGCAGGAGAGGCTTAACACTGTGGTTGGTTCCATTATTTCCCCAGCCCTCCCTTCATTCCAGATCTCAAAAAGAGCAGTAAAATGCCTTGAGGGAGTGGGATGCAACAACTGTGGAAGTTGAGCAGGCCTTGCAGTGTTTAGTGAAGAAACGACGATGAAAAGCCTACAGTATCATGCAGCCAGCCCATCTAGCCCGCTTGGGTGCAGGGAGGTAATGAGAGGATTCCCAGGGTAGTGATGGTGCAGTTGAACAGCCTCAGTGGGTTGTGGTTCACATCAAATGTGGGCACTTAAAACCTGGGTGCCAGGTTCTCAGGATTGTGACCAAGTGTTAAGGAAGTGAGTAAATTACTTAAGGCTAGTTTAAAGAGACTATAAAGTAAATTTTTCTCCATTCATTTCTCTCAAGCTTGTTTCAAGTGTCAACATCAACAGTCTTTACTTTCAGGGCATTGTTATTACTTATGTAGAGACATAGACTTTATGCTGCCTTTCCTGGACCAAAAGATAACCCATCACCTTCACCTTTCATCTTTGTTGTTATACTGTTAAACTTATAGGACAGTGCTATATTCCAGTAGCAAGTGAAGCCCAAGGTCTCGCTGGTCCTACACCTGATTATGTGTAGGGATGAGAGCTAAACTCTGCAAGAGATGGTGTGAAATAGCATTAGAATGCTGAGCAGTTATTTTCTAATCTTAGGCAGTTTGTTAATCACTCAAGTGGTCAGGGAAAACATTTATCCTGGCTGGTGTATCTACAAACTAGAAATTCTCACAAATTTAGTAAATTTTAGATCCTCCTATACTCTGAGTAAAAAAAACATAAATGAGAGAGCTGTACATATATACTTGTGTCAATCTGTAATTAATACGTTAAAAGGCTGTCATTATTTCATTTCACAGGCTCCCTTCCCTTTGTTTGTTATAAGGGACGCATGAGAACCTGGCTCACCTTTTCTGTACCATTTTTATTATTTTATAAACCTCTTTCTCTCTTTGCCTGTGATTAACATCCTAATGAAACTGAATCTAATTTTTAGTGTCTCGTGTGGAAGTCTTTCCATGACACAGCTGTTGCAACCAATTTCTAGTAGTTCTGCATCCATTTGGAGAGGTAGTGGATAGACCCAATACAAGAATATGGAATCTAAATATATTCTGACATTCACAGGTTTTCTGTGTGTGCTGTTTTGGCTGTGACTATGTAGTGGGCAGGCACCATTATTGAGCTGCACAAATTATTTCCTTTTTAAGATTTAAAGAAACTAAGACCATTTTGCATGGACTATAGCATCCATGTGAAGAAAAGTATACAGGATAATTACCATAGCTTGACCCAATAGTGTAAAATGATAAACATGCACCTTCAATAGTATTGAACCAGCATCACTGAAATGACTCCTTGGCATAGTTGCGGAATCAAGTAGGCACTGCTTTGGATTTTCAAAATCTAATTGAGAGAAGTCCTCCCACATATGAAACATGTTACTTTAACTTAGTAATGCTAATATGCATGCATTCCATGTCTTTACAAGTAATGTTTCTATATGGCTATTCCATGTTCACAGATATGCCTGTATTTTAGTTAAATGACTCATAATGACTTACTATTTTTATGCATTAAGGGCTGGCTGGAGTATCAAAGATTTACTCTCAGCATAAACCTGTAAGGAAATATTTATAAAATATATTTCTTGCACCAGCAAGACTGAAAAGCAAACCACACTGCAAAAAATGAAAACTAATATACACTTTATATTTTTGTTGTTTCTTTAAAAAACAAACCAAGGTTGACTTTCCATTTAGCTCAGAGTGCATCTCTTGGAAGCCTTGTGTTTTGTTAACAAGGATGAACATTACATGCTCTTAGCTCCTTTTTGTCTTTGCAGCTAGTAAACTGAGTACTTTTGGACCTCTTCTTTACCATCATGTAGCGTTCCTGAATTCCACCTCCACAGAGTGTAGAACATTCTGTCCAAGCAGTCCATGGCTTCAGCCTACAAACTGAAAAAAGTCATTTGAGTAAGTTTTTAGTATTTCAGTCTAACCTACCTATCTCAGTGTAATTGTGCACACTTACAGCTTTTGCATAGAAGAGAGCATAGAGCCTAGTTCTTACAGTACGAATTAAGAAACCCTAGTTAAGTGTACTCAAGGTGCATTTGTCAAACACTGAAAAATGCTTTGCTTTGTTGCTAAACCTTTTCCTAGACTGAAATGCATGAACTGGAGCTGCTTACAAACTCCTGTCATGCAGAAAAGAAAAACAGACATAAGCATGCTGAAAAATGGTTTCACACTCACCTGGATATTGCTCACTATCTATATTTTTTTTTGCTTGTTCACTTCTCCTTTTCTCCCGGGCCTCTTTCCAGCGCCTTTTTTCCATACCTGGGCCTCTCAGGCATTTCCTGACTCGACATTTTGTGCGTTGGACAGTTTCTGGGCATGCTGTTCCTCCAAACTGTGGTTCTATTTTAATCATTCTCGTTCTGATCATGTGGCCCTTTCCACATGAGGTATTGCATTCGGACCACTGGGACCATTCAGTTAGTTCACAGTCAATGGCTGTAAAGAATGAGAAATGTTACATGAAAGCTGTGAGACCTAAACATAAGGTCAAGATGAAACATGCAGACGTGCCTAATGAGTTTTTGCACTCTGAACACAGGAAAGCAGCTTAAGCCCCCAGTCTTTTCAGCAAATGTTGTGAGGCTACACGTCAAATTTTTTGGAGTCCATTTCTAGTCAGAATTACTATTTGACACTTTCCTCAATTTCTTTTTCAAGAGTGGTGCTGGCAGATCACTAAAATTACCAAGAAAGTATAAATAATTCTTCCCCTGTGCTTTCTTCAACTCTCTCACCCATATGCCTGTTTTATAATGAAAAGCTGTTAAATACTGAGTTATATTCACAAAGAATCTGATGCCTCTGAGGTGTAAGCCTCGCTTTACTGGCTGTGTTATGCAATAAGCGAGATGTACTAAAAGCTTTAAAAGTTTTCATCTTTCAGCACTACTTAAAACTTACAGCCCCAGTGAATAATAATGAAAATGATATTTCACATAATTTAAGAAAAGCTGAATTAACAAACTGACTAATACTTTCTGTGAAAAATAATGTAATTTGTTTATAAATCCTCATAAACCAGCTGGCAACAGGACACTAAAAGCAATCATATCTTACTTGTTCAGCAGCGCCTTGGGCACTTCACAAGACTGCAAAGCAACTAGAAATTTGTATCACTCAAGAAAGGAGCAGATTTCAGTAGAGTAAGGTAAAAAAAAATCAATGCAGCTGTTTCCACAGCATCCAGTGGCTCATATGCATTCCTGGTTACAAAGGGATACGTAGATCAGTAAAAAAATCTATAATACCATTCAGAGATGTATCAAAGATGGAGCGAGCCTCTTTTGTGCTCTTTGCGTGAGCTAAAAGAACCACAGAGATGTTTTTAATTCTTCTTTCCTTCCTTCCTAGAACACACACTGCTTTTGAGTAAAAGAGAGGTTTTATAATTCTGACTTATTTACTACTAGGAAGGGCACAGACTGTTGCCTGAAGTTTGTAGTGTGTTAAATATGCAGAAACAGTATGCCGAAAGCAATATTGGTCATCAGCATAAGGTTCAGTAAGGCAAGCTGAAATGATGGTCATATTCAGTAAATGAAAATCCGCACTAATAATAATAATAATGCTAATAATAAAAAGAAAAAAAAATCCATAGTTGCTATCCTGCCTAAGAGGTGATGCTAAAAACTGGTGATAGAGTTTTGACCCATAGACTTTGCCATTCATAATTAAACTTCTCTCTCCAGAGAGTTTCCCACACTTACGGCATTCGGGCAGCATGCACTTTTCTGCTTGTTCTAGCTCCTCATTGCAGTCTCCCAGCTCAGCAGCAGATTTCAGCATCCTTTGACGGGTTCGCATGCCCTTCCCACATGTTACACTGCAGTCACTCCATTCAGACCAAGGCGAGAGTAGACAGGGGATGGTATCTGATATGAAAACAAAAAGGTAATGAATTTTTATTGTACATAAATTATGAAGCTACTGCATTATTTTGAAAATAATACAGGTGGAAAATGTACGGCTTTATCTGTCATCAACCAATTATACTTTGTATACATTTGGACAAAATGAATCATAATCTGAATGATGTTGCTAGAGATGCTCAGAAAACACTATATTAAATTGAAAGCTTTGCCTCATTTTAATACCTTTTCTTTGCTGTCTTTATAGCCTATTTATATCTGCAGAATCCCAGTGCTCCTGGGAAATAAATAGTTTAAGAAGGTATGTTTCAGTCATGACTCCTATAAAAAATCTGGATTGTTAAAGTGGACTGACTGAAACTCGAGTTGATATAGTCTAAAATGTGATAATTCCACATTTTGTCTACCAAAAATCTTTTAAATTTTAATTCGTTGTCTTTCATGAAAATCTTAACATTTCTTGCCATTTAAACAATATGAATGATAGAATCATAGAATACTAAGGGTTGGAAAGGACCTTAAGATCATTTAGTTCAGTAGTCACAGTAAGAATGAGATTGGCTGACCACATGAAAGGAGCACTTCAATTTCTGAACTGTTCATGAGCTAAAAGGAGAGCGCACTGTTTTATTATAGCCTTATGATTAAATATACCTCATATTCCATAAATCAGAGTTGCTTAGGTATGGTTTGCTAATATGCACATTGCTGTCTGGGTAATACAGTAATAGGATACTACTGAATATTTTTTCTCAACATTCTCATCCTGCTGGTGAAACTGGTAATGCGCATTCCTTAGGGGAGCTAATTTTAAGAAGAACAAGAAAAAGCAGCATTGCTTCTTGTTTAGGTATATTATCTGTGTGATGGAGGAACATGTCAGAAATTATGCCTGTCTTTATAGCAGAGAAGAGAAACTCATGGACACTTACGGCATTCAGGCATCATGCATTTCTCTGCCTCTGTAGTTTCTGCCTTGCACATGGATCCATCAGCAGGAGTCATCTTGATCATTCTGTGTCGTCTCTTCATCCCTGTGCCACAGCTAGCACTGCATTCATCCCACTCTCCCCATTCAGTGACAAGGCAGCTGCTAGGGGCTATTTAAAATGGACAGACAAAATCATTCACTAGTAGAGCTTATATAAAACCATGGTTTGGGCAGTACTCCTGCTATTGGCTGGGTTTTACAAAGCCAAATAAAATACTTACAACATTCCTCATTTACAATACATTTCTCAGTTTCTTCAGTAGGCACTTTACACATAGAGCCATCTTCAGGGAATTGTTTTACATATCTCTCTCTAGATCGCGTTCCCATTCCACAGGAAACACTACAGGGGGACCATGTAATCCAGTCAGACATCATGCAAGTGGAAGCATCTAAAACACAGAGAACCATTTCAATAGCTAATATTAACAGAATTGCTGATAATTCTGTAGCTGCCTATTTGTGTGCAATGTCACTTTTATGCTGCCTCTCACATACTGTGCTTCCTTGATTGCTTACTTTGCTCCTTTCCTTTTTATTTCTGTGTGCTTTGTGCACCAAGATGAATCCAGTTTGTATTATTTAGCAATTAGTCCTCTTTGCTATAGCTCAAGTCACACTGCAGCAGCCAGTAGCTTTAAGAACTTTAAGGGAAGAGCAAACCCTACAAGAGGTTCTCCACTCTTTCCTCTTTATTACCTTCATCACTGCAGCCTGGACCCATGCATGGCTGAAAATCTTGGGTATCTGGGCAGGGCACACTGAGGTCCAGCTGAGCTTTAAGCATTCTCTGCCTCATCCTCTTGCCCTTTTCACAAGTAGAAGAGCTGCAAGCTGACCATGGGGACCAGTTTGAATATATGCAGGTCTCAGGGGTATCATCTGAAAAGTAAGAAAAGGCAGTGAATGTTAAAAGTAGTCTTCCATTTGGCTCTCTTTACCTGACTGGTGATTACTTTAGATGCTAGTAGGATACAGTCTTTCCTCCTGCATTCTATCTTCTCCATTTTAGCCCCCCACCCTCCAAGACTAATTGCCAACTTTCATTTAAAAAAAAATAAATTCAAATCCCAAAAGGCTTCTCTCTTTTATCACTTCCATTGTTACTGTCATCTTCCAGGAATGCATGCAGTTTCCTTTACTGCATGAGAAGGCTAATTGTAAATACCAGAAAAGATGAAAACCAAAATCACTTTTTGGCACTGAATAAGGCTTTTGCTCCTAAGTCAGTTTTGTACTTTATCTAAAAATGACAGTAGAAAATGGAACAAAATGTAAATTAGTACAGCACAAACTAATTTAAAATGTACCTTCTTCTTTTTCTTCTGGTGCTAGATCTGCCACAATATCGTCGATGTTATCAGGTACAATATTGCACTGCTCCCCCTGCAAAGGAATTAATTGTGTTACAGGAAACTTATACATGTATGCAGCGAGGGGGATTAACCCAGTGTACTGTGAGGCCCTATCGCATCTGCAGCACTTTCTTCTCTTCTCATGCTTATGCATACTTAAAACGAATCCCCAGATAAGCAGATGCAGTTATTACCACAAGCAGGAGAAATAATACATTAAGAAAGATTTAGTTCTTTTCTGCCATAATCTTTGTTTGGTGTAGGTTAAAGAGGGTAGATTTGGGGGGGGGGGGGGGTAGGATTGGTATTTCTTGTGTACGAAGTAGGGTGTTTTGTTTGCTTAAGAATGTTATATATGTGCATTATACCTTGCGTGCAATTCTCTCAATGACAACTCTGGCTACCAGCTTGATGGAGCCTCCTTCCGGGTCATAAAATGGACTTTGGGGATGATCTAAACTTGTAAGTGGTCTGATCTTTTCTTGAGGCACTGTAGGTTTGTTCGGAGACTGCAGTCAAAAAGAAAAAATAGTTAAAAAGAAACAAATAATTAATAATACAATTCATCTGCAGAAATTAAAACTTCTTCAGAATGTGAAATTGAGAAATTCCAATCTAAGATGAACTCAGTGCAGTTGTACTTAATGGTAAGGTGTTGGATTTTTCGTTGGAATTTTTATTTTGTCAGGAAGCACTTCTCTAACACTTTGGGGTTCAACCCTGAAGCTGGGTTCACAATAAGATGTGAGTCTTGTTGTGTGGTTAAACACAACTACATTAATAAAAAATATATATCCAGTATGCCTCCAGAGTTGTATTATAACTGGAGAAATTCCTTAGGTTCTAAAGAGACCAGGTCTGAAAGAAAAAAATCAGCTATCTTCTGTTACCTGAAAAGTGAGTATGTGTGGTGTTTGAGGCTGTGCCTCTTCTTGTCTACCATCAACTTTCTGTACTCTCTGTAGACTCACAGTGTAGGCATGCTTGGAACCTATGGAGACCTAACCAGTTCATGAATGTGACATAACTCATTTGGTCAAAACCAGGACTTTACCTGATGATGATGTGAATCTTTAGGACTGAGAAAGTGATGGAGACAGAGAAAATGTATGATTTTTAGAGCCTTGTAGTGATGAGAATCTCAGAGTTTCAAACACTGTAAGGAACAGTTAAGTTTTCTGTGCAAAACAGAATAGTTGGCATTGGAGTTGAAACAGTAGAAAAGGCGATAATGGCTGCTGGTGGCACACAGATGTGTATCAAAGGGTTTGGACACCTTGATACTTAGTTTTGAGCAGACTAAGTCATCCATTTATTAAGTAGATGAATGTAATAATATCCTAGGTGAATGTAATATTATCCATTAATAATAATGCTCAGGGAATTCAGACACAACAACCGACAGTAGTTGTAGCATCTGTCTAAATGACTTTTAATTCATTATGAACAAAATTTTTACAAGAGTAGTATAAAGGTATGTATGGCATTACCATGGATCAAATAGCACTAATTCTTCACCGATTAAGATAAACTTTATGTATTTAATATATTACAAATACCTCATAGCTAATGCCACTGTCTGTACCAGCATCCCAGGGTATTAAATCCTGAACGACTTTCTGAACCCAGCCACAGTCCTTGGTACAGAGGTCTTCAGCAGACAGACCCACGTTCCAGTCTGGACTGGGGCCAAGCATGGTGAGGAAGGACATCAGGTGCCGGTGACGATCGACAGAAAACTCAGCAGAGGGAGCAGCTCTCCTGCAAATTTGCCATAGCAAGACATGAATTTGTTTGCTGCTAGATGGAAATGAAACTGGTACTTCAGACTGGGAAATGCTGAACACTGGCACAATGCTGTTTGGTACGTAGAGATGGAGAAACAGGGTGGGGGGAGACAGCTGTTTGGCCCTGTCTAGTTTCAGTCTCCAAGTATCATCTGAGAAACAGCTCTGACATTGTTCAAGGAGATTTACAGTTTAATGGGTGAGAGAGATGTAGCAATAAAGAGCTGCAGCAGCTTATGTCTTAGTCATATAATAATAATAATAACAATAATAAAATAAGTAAAATAGCTGAGAAATACTGTGAGGGTTTGATTGCTGGAATACTTTTTACCCCCAAAAGAGAATAGAAATTCTGATGCCAAAAGTGCTTGGAAGTGTTACTTGCGTATTTTTGCAAGAAAGCACTCATTAACAGAGTTTTGGTGCTCAGCTGAGAGATTAATGGCCACTGCCAGCCCTAGAGAGTTCATCCAAATCTCCTGTAGGTTTCTACCAATGTATGTGAAAGAGCCCCTATTCATCCAGCCTTTGTCAGCTGTTCTCTTAGGAAGAAATCAAATCATGCTGAATCATGAAGTGCTCTGCAATGCTGACGAGCAGCTATCACATTCCTGTGCAGATGAAAAATAAAATCAGGCCTGAACTGGAAGTTCCTGTTCACAGATGAAAAGCTGGACCACTTCATGGCACCCTTCTGGTGAGCAACAACAAATGCAGAAGTATTTAAAATGTGATTTTGGCAAATCTGCTCTTCCAAATACTGGTCTGGCTGGTGTCAACACAGGTTTTCTTCAGTTACAGGACTCGAGCCAATACAGAGTCAAATTGAAGCCTGGTTCTTTTTGTGTTTTATGCTAAAACACACTGCCTTTTGAGCATCCAAATGCTTGAGTCCCTGTAAAAATGTAGCATTTCATTGGTCTATTTTTCCTAGTTAGAATCATAGAATAGTTAGGGTTGGAAAGGACCTTAAGATCATCTAGTTCCAACCCCCCTGCCATGGGCAGGGACACCTCACACTAAACCATGCCACCCAGTTCTTAGCATTCTCAGCATATTAGAAAACTGAACAGCCCAGAGATCGTTATTTTGAGTAGTTATCACAGTTTTAAATGTAAGATGTCTAAAAATTAGTGTTTCTAGCTCATCCTCAAGAGTCAAATGAAGAAGCAGGCATTTGCTAATGGGTGAAATGTTCTGGCCACTTCTGTTCCAGTGTTTCTAACTGCGTAAAGTCCTTAAATTAAGGACTCCAAGTAGAACAGCTTCTAAAAGAGATGACATTAATCCTCCCTTTCCCAGAAAGAGATGCTAAGGACTCAATGACTCTTTTTTTTTTTGTTCAATTGAACAACTTACCTAATGTAAAGTAATAAATAATGAATGATGGTATCAACTTCAATCTGTGAGTACAGTATCCTGATATATTTGTCAAGTACGTAGCAGTGATTAGTCTTAAAAACCCTGCCAGCTGACTTCAATTAACTAAAGGATTTACTGCATTACATGGGTTTCTAAGAATGCCCTATAGGAATTTTGTACTTGAAGCAATACACAGCAGAAATCAAAACAGTAAGAAATGTGTTTGCATACATGATCTTTAGATTAAGAATATGTCTAATATGGACATTGCAGATGCAGAATAAAGTCGCGGGTCAGCTCTTGCAGGGGAAAAGCAAAGGCCGTGTGGAGCTGCTCACTACTGCATCCAGCACCTGAGCTGATACTACTGAGTTGGTATGTATTGTGTGACACGACACTCACTGCTCTGTGCACATGTGTTCAGGAAAAACAAGAGGCAGATACAGTCATACCATTTAAAAGCAGAGGGTTGGCAATCACTTTAGACACATAGGAATGGAAAACTTTTGTCACCTGTTATTCTTGTGGTAGGCACATATAATTAAAGCTTTGAGTACTTTGTTAGGAAAGTAAATATTAATTGTGTTATTCATATGAATAAAAAATACTTGAGTAGTTAAATTAAACTCTATCAATATTGAAACTGTGCAAAGGAACACTTCAGGAGATGTGCTTTGCCTGCAAGTCTTTGCATGTGTTAAATTATATCAGGAGATCTGCAGCTTGCATCATTTTCCAATTTCAGAGCACTCTGAAAAAAAATTACCTATCTTCTGCTCCTTCTTTAAGAAAAATAGGTAGTTTTATGACCGTTTTACTGTATTTCATCCTGTAGCTGTTTAACAGAAACGTGAAGGAATAGAAGACGAATGAAGGCATGTTTTTTCTCTTTTTTCTTCGACTCTTGTTCAGACAATAATGAAGTATTTATATATTATCATAAAATGTATTTGTTATACTTGCTACTTTATGTGGTACCTGCAAGCAGTATGAATAATTTGAACCACAGATGTGTAATGTTACCCAACATTCAGAGTCCTTCTTGAGCTGCTGTAATTAAGGAGGAGAAATGGGCTGATCTAAGGCACAGTTAGTAAATACTACCTGGGCATAGGGGCAGGCACTGATTGGTCTTTTACAATCTTAAATGATCTTTGGTGGGTTTTATTTACTAGGGTTTTTAATGAAGTGACAGATTTCAGATGTTTCCATTCTCCACACGAGCAACAATTTATGAAGCTGGCAGGAACCTAAATCCTTCCCGGCATACCTCAACAACACATCAGGCTCAAGTGTCCTAAGATTTGCCTATGGATATTCTGAAGGAATCTAGTGATACTCAAGTGCATCCTAAACCTGACCTTTTTCATTTCTGTATTGTCAACACACCTGATGAAACAGGAATGTAGATCATCATCTCTATCTCTGCTTTCAATATAAGTATATATTATCATTTTAAGGCTCTTAAATTTTAAGAGAGTGTTCTTCTGTGACAGGTTGAGCATGTTTGGTAATGCCCACAGGAAAAGCCTAAAGTTTCCAACTGATGTGACTTTGCTGTGAGACCAACATGTTCCATTCCCTTTCACATATACATGCACAAAAACAATGGCAAATAGGAGTTGCAGATCAAATCCTAAACATCAGGTAAGTTCTAGGTGACAAGCTTGAGAGCCCCACAGGCCTAGGGAATCCTGCTTTCATTAGCTGAAGCAGACAGTACTTTTCCACTGTGAGCCTGATCCACCTTGCTCACAATTCCTGTCACATAGTACAGGGTGAGGAAAGTACCAGATAGTGTCCTGCACTCTAATGTTTTCCATTTTCTTTATTTTTATTCTATGTATGTTCTTTATCTTAGCATGATTTGGATCTCCAGCTGTAGGGATGACACATACTGAGCAGCACAAGGAAATGCTCTTTTTTTTCCCAAGGGTTATTGTTGGTTGGTTGCGTTTGTTTCTGGTTTTATATGTATATGTTTCTGTGGTGTTTTGGTTTTTTTTTAAAGCTGAAAGAACACAAACAAGGTTTTGCTTTACATGCTTTTCCCCTAAGGGACAATCTAGTTGCTATCACTGCTGGGGTGGGTGGTTAAGAAAGCCTTTGACAAGCCAACAGAAACCTCAACCTGCTGCAAGATGTGGTTTTGAGTGTTGAACCAATAGTGTTGTGTTTTATCGATATCCCCATACAAGGTAATGGAGCTCACACAAGGAAGGTGGATAGAAATATTGAAAATAATATTTTCAGGATGTAAAACTTTTAGGTTACTTTTGATTTAATATTTGATTAGTATAAAAGAAGTAGAAAAAGGCAGCCTGAGCATGTACTCTTTGTCTCTATGACAGGAGCTAGTTCAACAAATTAGACTATTTATAGAGTTTTGGAATCAATGTGAATTTTACTTCCTGGATGCTGTGTGTACTACATTTGTGTAAGACAGACATTTGCCTCACCCATGCTTAAAGCCTATTATGTAAGGACAGAGCTGAATGGAACTGCTTCACAGTTATCCACGTTCTGACTTTGGCGGTAGGTACAAAATAATGTTGTCATTAAGTGAGCGTATTTGACAGGAGAGGGTAAAATACTGATCGTTACGATGGTTCTTTGAAATAAAATTCTGCATCAGTTATTCTTCTACATTTTATGCTGGGGAAAAAAAATCTAATTGATTTCATGGATTTAATAACTCTACGGGGTACATGGTAGTTTGAAATAGCATGTAATTCTTCAGGTTTCTTCATAGAGCTATATTAAGGTGTAATCACATCCTAAGCCCATTTTTAGAGTCTGGATACCAGGTTCCTTTGAATATGCCAGGATCTGATCTCGCTTGTGCTAAGGCTAAACTAAGTAGCCATTTCAAATAGGAAGAAAAAAGTCAACACGCAAGAGAAGCCCATCTAAGTCTGATGCCTGTTTGAGGTTTAGTGTCAGTTCTAGGCGGCACTGAGAATGTGAAAACGCTATTATTTTAAGCAGAGAGTTTAACTCATAGACCATGAAAACTGCATATTTTAGGGAAATGGTAAATTAATGCCTGTTATACCTCTAGTCAGCAAAAGTGACATCATCCTTTCTGAGAGGCTTACACTGCATCTCATATACACTTCCCAGGATGAACACTATTTATTCATCTGTAAACCCTTTTGCTATTGATACAAACAGTTATAAGCATGGAAACACATTTCACACCCCTGAACTTCCAACTCTGCACCTTCTGCCTACCAGCAGCACCTACACAACATCTGTTTTATCAAAAAAACTTTAAAATCATAACACCCTGAAAAGTTTACTAGTTTCAAAGAAAAAAGAAGAAAATTAACATCTAAAATTAAATCTAAAATACTACTCTCATAGAAGTCTACAACTAACAGAACTAATTTGATGGCATATTTAGATGCTGTATTATTAAGTATACTATTTAGGAAATGATGCAAAAGAATTAGGACCATTACATGAACAACAAAGTTTTGTCCACATGTATCAACACTTGAACATGGAAACAGAATTTCAGAGTTGCACAGAGGAAGGGGAGAATCCTGTTTAAGTTCTGCTTAAATGCAGGGTGGGTAAGCATTTAACCTAATGAATAATTTAAACATG